TGTGAATGACCCCCAGCTTTGGTGTGATGGTGACTTGCGGCAATATCTGCTGACCTGCTGCTTGAGAAACAAACACAAAGTAATGAAGAACTCACATACTAATTCACTAATTAGCATACACTACCACTCATATTTTTTTAAAATAAGAATAAGAACATTTATAAGAAATTATTACTTATTTAACAGACACAATAAACAAATCAAAAAAGGGACTGCAAAAATATCTGTAATTTTACAACAAAAAACAAAGTCTACTTCAGATAAATGCTACTCTTTTTAGTCATCAAAAATCATGAAAAATGTATCACGATTTCCACAAAATATTAAGCACCACTGTTTTCAACAATGATGATAGTAATAAGAAAAGCTTCTTGAGCAGCAAATCAGACTATTAGAATGATTTCTGCAAGAACATGTGACACTGGAGAAATGTCTGCTGAAAATTCAGCTTTGCCGTCACAAAAATAAAGTACATTTTAAAATATATTTCAATAAAAAAAGTTATGTTAAAATGCAATAATCTTGCTGTTTTGACTGTATTTTTCATCATATAAATGTCTTTCAAAACCATTTAAAAATCTCACAGACACATTTATACCTGGCACAACCGTGAGAGTGGTTCCTAGTGGATACTGTGACCCCAAAGCGCTGATGAACGAGGTGCTGCTGTTGAGATTCTGTGGTGATGCCACAATGTAACCCTGGTGAAACAATAAAGATTCAGTACCCTCATCAAATTCGGCCTATGAACAGACACATTAATAAATCTAAATTGAATTCATGCATGTTTATTATGACTAATGTAAAATGTAACCCGAGTGGGAAGAAGCACAGATTTAACCTGAGAAAGTCGAAGAAAAGTGAAGTTACCTGATTGTTAATAATGATGGGTTGAGGGGCTGTTTGAGGTCCTAGAGTTGTGTTAATAGGGATGAGGATGGGATTTGAAGGGGCAGCACCTCTGACCATGATTGTAGGACCTATAGCAACACTTGCGGGGTTCGGCGGAGCTTGCGGAGGCTTTTGTGATGATGCCAACATTGAGGGTTTTTGAACCGGGACATTTCGCTGGTTCTGTTGGTTAACAGCACCTGAAGATCACAAGAAACAATGAGCAAACAATCTTAAGTACAGGACCAGAAGAGTAGTGACGGTGTGCCCAAAAGAGAGTCATACCTTGTCTTGTGTTGGCCGCAGGCTTGGAGCTACAGATTTCACCGACAAATATTGGTTCATCATCATCGTCATCTTCAAGATCTATCAGATTGATTTCTGGAATTGTCTTCTGCCACGGCTCCAACTCCTCCTCTTCACACTCCATAAACAGCTCAGACATCTAAAAGAAAACCAAAGATATCAGCGCAAGGCTATGTGGTTAATGAAATTATACCAACATTCCACAAATTACATCATAATCTGGGTTTAGACATACCAGCACAATTACACCTCAATGAAAGCTAGCTAAAGCTTGAGACTCCATCAAAACTAAGGAGCTATATAGATCACTGTAATGCCACAAAACAAGTTTTGTGTTAGAACCAAATTATCTTTGCGTCCCACAGGGAAAAATATATCCAGACTTATTAATGTTAAGATTAAAAGCCCAACTATTGTGATGCAAAACCCGTGATCCACCTCTAGCAGACACGAGATTGTTACTGCGGACACAGACCGGCTAATATGCTAACTCAGATTCCCACCATTTACTCCTAGCTAATACGTAGAATCAAAATGCAGTCATGAAAGAAGTGCATAAATGCTAAGAAATCAGAAGCATTCATACAGCGACGTAGATCTAGCACATTATTCCGAAATCCATTAGCAGGCAGGTCGGCTCTGTCTGGATGCTAACATGCTAAAAAGCAAGAAAAATAGCAAGCGGCTGCAGAGAAACGGCAAATCACACAATAAATCTAAATTGGCTTTGTTATGATAACACATAAGCAAACATTTCGGATTAAAAAAGCGAAACTCAGTTTTACCTTTTAAAATCTCGGATTATTTACAAACAACATCAGTGTTGATTCAGACACGCTCACAGCGGAATGAAGCGCGGAGGCTCATGGGAAATCAGAGGGGTTATTGTTGAGACGAGAACCTCACGTCTCTCACAGAAGAACCAAGACTTATTTTGTTTTTAACACTTTAAAAAGTCCCAGTTTTGGACAACATTTAAATAATAGCATAAAGTAATTGTCAGCAGAGAAGAAAATAAACTAATTATAACGAATACATTATGAGCCAGACAATAAAAACTAGGTCAAAACAAAGACAAACGCGCCGTCCATGTATAAATTACAGAACATGTAGTAGAGTTTAAGATTTTAAGACTTGCATCGTGGTACTTTAGAGTAAATTTTCAACAAATTTGCAAACATTTAAAGTAAACTAATGGATGTTAACATAAAACAACAAATAACATTAGAATAGCGTCAGAAAAGTATGAGTAGTAGTTTGAAGTAATTCAATGGTGATAAACTAAACCGTAGTAATATTAAATTCACTTCTGTTAGGAGTTCAATTTGACAAGCAGCAGCTTTGGCAGTTTTGTCTCGTCTCTTCTGTTTATTTTGACCAACAGGCGGCACTATGAGTATTGTGATAGGTTTGGGATGCATGCCCTTATAAATAATGAATGTAATCAGCACCAACAGATAATACATCTCGTTCTTTCATTCAGAAAGTTTGGAGGGAAGGGAGGTTTTTTTTGTCTTTTTTTTGATGGCTTATGTTGTACATCTGTAAGCTGTGCTGGCTTAGTGATGTTAAACTGTGCAGCCCTTTGTTCTGTACAGGCAATTGCTTTGTGGTGTTCTTTTTCCAGTCTCTTGAATTGGTTAATGTTTGAATTAACATATTTGACATACATGTTCCCCCTGTTCTTGTTTTTTATGAAGTACTTCTATAGTTTTACTGAATATCACTATTTCAGATATCACTGAATATAAAAGTTATGTAAGCGTATTGTAATTTATATATACAGCATCCTATCATAATTAATTGTCACGATCAACTCATTATCAATATGCACAATAATTTGCATTATTGACACACTATTTTCCTAATTAATGCTGTTCAGTTGCTTTGACACAATCTGTATTGTTAAAAGCGCTATATAAATAAAGGTGACTTGACTTGACTTGACTGTAGTTAGTTTTAGTGTACTGTGGAATATGTTAAGTTGCTTTTAATTTTATGGCAAACTTTCTATAGTGTAGTGCAGCTAGGCACCCTTAATTATTGACAACCCAGAGACACATATGTAAACAATAGTATTAAATGGTTATGGGTTCTTTTAAAACAGACTAAACAACTATTATGCAGCTTATTTATTGCACTGTTCCTTTTTGCAAGTTTCATTTGCACTAAAGTTAGGGGATGATACTGGTCTTCTGAATTCTGGTAAAGGATTGGCATGCCAACTTAATCACCGTCACAGAGTTTTGACATAAAGACATAGTAAAATTGCTTTGACACAATCTGTATTGTTAAAAGCGCTATATAAATAAAGGTGACTTGACTTGACTTGACTGTAGTTAGTTTTAGTGTACTGTGGAATATGTTAAGTTGCTTTTAATTTTATGGCAAACTTTCTATAGTGTAGTGCAGCTAGGCACCCTTAATTATTGACAACCCAGAGACACATATGTAAACAATAGTATTAAATGGTTATGGGTTCTTTTAAAACAGACTAAACAACTATTATGCAGCTTATTTATTGCACTGTTCCTTTTTGCAAGTTTCATTTGCACTAAAGTTAGGGGATGATACTGGTCTTCTGAATTCTGGTAAAGGATTGGCATGCCAACTTAATCACCGTCACAGAGTTTTGACATAAAGACATAGTAAAATAGTAATGTATGAAAAAATATTTTTAAATACAAATAGGATTCAAGTGATTACAGTTATGAAAAAAACCCATTGCAAATTAATTTCTCTTAATATGTAAATTTGATTTTTTTAAGAATAAATTTTATTAATCTCATGAGTCAAAAAATGAACAATAGCAACAACAGCAATAATAATAGCAAATTATTTCAAGCATAATAGTTTTTACTTTTTACTATTTTTCATAATTCATTATATCATATAAACCTATATGCTTATACTATATATAGCACTATTATTTTCATGTTGTTGCACTGTAGCCTGTTCTTGATGTTCCATTGGTTGCTTTGGCACATAAAAAAAAATCCATGAAGGAAGGAAGAAATGTGGTGATCAAAGTTAGGTCTACATGTGACCCTCGACCACAAAACCAGTCATAAGGGTCAGTTTTTTGAAATAGAGATTTATACATCATCTGAAAGCAGAATAAATAAGATTTCCATTGATGTATGGTTTGTTAGGATAGGACACTATTTGGCCAAGATACAACAATTTGAAAATCTGGAATCTGAGGATGCAAAAAAAAAATCAAAATATTGAGAAAATCGCCTTTAAAGTTGTCCAAATGAAGTTCTTAGCAATGCATATTACTAATCAAAATTTTAATTTTGATATACTTACAGTAGGAAATTTACAAAATATCTTCATGGAACATGATCTTTACTTAATATCCTAATGATTTTTGGCATAAAAGAAAAATCGATAATTTTGACCCATACAATGTTTGGCTATTGCTGCCAATTTTCCCGTGCTACTTATGACTGGTTTTGTGGTCCAGGGTCACATATAAGGTTTGAAAGGAAGAATAGCAATGTCCATATGTCGACAGTTTTGAGAGAGTGTGCACCAGTTCAAACGGTCTCCAGAGCATTTATGCTGCTGCACTTGTTCCAGCAAAACACTTAATGCAGCTAAAATGATGTATTCAATGCTTTAAACATGCTCAGTTTCTCCCAATACTAATAATACACATAGCCAACGAAGCCCACATTTAGGGAGTTGGGAGGTAAACCAAACTGATTTTAGGAGGTGCTCCAGTGGTCCTTTACTCCCCTAGCAAGGTTGTGTGTCAGGCTTTATGATTCGCCACACATAATATTCATCCGCACCGCTGAAGAACAGTCAAGTCTACGGCGCTGGCGGAAGAACACTATTTCAGATGTCATCGTCGCGCTTCGGTTATCGCCAAGCAAAAATGTCTGCCTAAGGGAAACTCGCAAGTTACATAGTGGATATTTGCAATATAAAATCGCAAAACATACCGATTTCATTATCTTTCCGACGCGAAACAAGGACACCTACGCCGTCACTGGCACACCCGATCGCCCTAGTTGGATTTTTGACAACAAAACAGGTAAAATATTGCACAGAGTTTGTGAGAGGTTTCGGACTGGGTGAAAGAAGTTGGGATAGAAGAAAAGACAGGAGCCGATGTGGAGCGAAAGGGGTCGGCATTCGCTTTAACATTTCAGCTTGACACCTCGCTGTTTATTCTTCACGATAAAATGTGTTATTTCAGTGCTAATGGTCGGTTTTCGCTTAATCGTTTCATGGTCGCACCATTATTATTATGAATAGGTTAACTGGCAATTAGCGAACAACAACAGCAGCGGCGTTGTTTGTAAGTATCAATTCTCCTGTAATGCAACAACAAAAGTGTGTAGCGGCTGATGGTTTGACAGCGCGTGAGCGTTCATTGTACGCTCGTGACTTTTGATACATTGAAGAATCAAACACATGCAGTTGAAAAATGATGCTGCGGGTCCATGTGTGTGACACCGTCGAGCACAGCGTCTTTCTCAACATGTCCACGTTTGGTCATCCCAAAAACCCTATTAGGCCTGCTCTCTAACGTTATAATAAAACCTGTTTCCACTGTGTCACCTCATGTCATGCGATTGCTATTGTTTACAAAAAGAAATTCCGTAACCTCGTCTGAAACTGTCAGTAATACGAGGCTGGGGAGAGGAGCTCTTGGGTCTGTCTCTCAGGAGCTTTTTTTTATTTATTTCTATTTAATGGATAACACATAGGTTTTGATTGAGGACAACCAGGTCCTTCGATAGCCCGCAAGGTTTTGGAAGAGCGCAAAGTTAGTTCTGCTAAAAGACAGGAGATGGGGATGTTTAGCAAATGTCAAGCTGCGGATGTTCACCCGATGTCATTTGCATAAGCTGTGCTGGCTAGCATGAAGCTTCAGCACACATCAGGCTCTCAGATTGAGGGGAATGATGTTTGTGTTTTGTAGATTTAGAAAAGGATCGTAAGGATGAACCCTCAGCAGCGGATTGCCGCTATCGGGACGGATAAGGAACTGAGTGATCTGCTGGATTTCAGCGCGGTAAGACATTAATCAGTTATTTTACTTCTTCAGGACTCTCTTCCAGCTGTTGTCATTGGTTCAGTCACTCACTTGTAAGATATGCATTAAGTTGAAGTATTACTTTTTTATGTTGTGAATATTTGTTTATTTCTCTCCTAATTATATGACAAACAACACACACACGCATACATGTATATACATGCATTTTAAAAAAATATTTTAGAATATGTAATATATGAAACATGTATTTATTAAACACGAGACACTGTCTGTGTAATGTTAGTACCACAGTATTTCAGAGAAATGTTTGTGTGTCTTCCAACAGATGTTTTCTCCACCTGTAAACAGTGGGAAAAACAGGCCGACCACTCTTGGAAGCAGCCAGTTCACCACATCAGGTAGGACTTCCTGTGGAAATCCTTTAATTAAAGATTGTCTTCCTCTCACACTGTCCAGTCACCTTCTCTTGATTCTCAATGAAGTCTTGTTGCTTTTGATTATAGTCATGAATTCCATCTCAAGGTGTTTTTGATTTTGTCTTGATTAATAAGGAGTGTGTAGAGAAGGGTTCAGTAATGCCAGTAATGGGCTTTGAAATCAGATACATCCGCTGTTTTCATTACACTGAAATGAAAGGCACCACTGTTGTCAACTTGTCAGGGCTGGTAGTTAAATTTTTTACATGCATACATACTTTACATACATGCGTACATCATTGCTTTTCTTAGATTTCACATTAAAGTTGTACTTTGATAGAGTTCCTGTTTATATATGAATCCTGTCATAGGTGACTACACGTTTCTGTAAAGATCATCCATTGTCTAATGTGCCGTGGAAGAAGGAAACAATCAAGCACTATTCCATCTCAATGCTTGTTTTATGTAAAGCAACAAAGCAGAGCCCTTGTTACACTCATCTGCTATCTAGAGGACACTTTTAGTGGATTACTGAATAGCAGCAGAGCCGAGACTGCAAGACGCTTTTGTAAACCTTTTCAGAATGTTTTGTAAAATAACCTGACTTTGTTGGCTCGCATTAGCTAGAATCTAACAGTAATAAATGAAAAGTTTACGCACATGTGGTCTTGTAATCAGTCTTTGGCTTTGATGTGCTATGATGCTAAATGTGATAAATACATCTCTTGTTTGTTTGTTGCTCCTGACACAACTTACTCAAAACAGCAGTGTTTCAGAGATGGTTTGGAAACGCTGTGGGGCGCTATTTCAAGCACCGGCAGAGATTTGTGTGTGCGGAGCATCAAGAAGCCATTTTGCTGTATCCATCTATGCTAGATAATTCAATATAGCTTGGCATTCCTGATTATCAGGTGACCTAGATCAGGTGAAATATCTGATTCCCAAACTAGACCAGCAGAAGCAGAGTCCTGTTTTAGAATAAAGAATTTAAAGTAATATTCCAAGTTCATTACAGCATTTGTGGCATAATGTTGATTACCACAAAAATTAATTTCACTTGTCTCTCCTTTTTTTAAATTTTTTTATTTTTTAAAGCTGGGTTACAGTGAGGCATTTACAATGGAAGTGAATGGGGCCATTTTGAAAGTGTCAATAGCATAGCAACAAAAATGTGAACAATATGTGTGTTAACATGATTTTAGTGTCACTTACTAACCGTTTCTATCCAATTTTACAACTTTGTTGCCATGACAACACAACTAAAACCTTAAACGATGATATAAATGATGAGAACAACTTTACAGCTGAAATAATACACAAGTTTTAACAGAAGAATCCTAAAAAAAAAACTTACATTGTGAGTGCCTCCCTATAACCTTGATGTTTGCTTTCATTGTTAAACAACAATGAAAAAAAACATCAAATAGGGGACTTGAATTTTTTAATTTATTTATTTTTATTGGAAATCAACTTGGTACTCCAAATGATGTTGATTCAACATAACTTGTATTTGTATAATATTGTATTGTACCTGCAATATTCCCTTAAAATATCCATGTGTGTATTAGGAGGTTTTGATGGTGGAAATGTGCGCTAAGGGTTTGGCTAATCTGTCAGATCTTTGTAAAGAGCAGCCCTTGTGTGGGAATGCAGTGATATGCCCTCTGTTTCATCCACAGCTCGGCAAGACATGTATCACCTGTCTGATAACAAAATTCTCTTTTGTTATCTCCAACACTGTTATTTCTCATGTCGTAGCCGCAGTGTTATACAGGCGTGAGGTATTGTGCAAAGATAAATGTCCTTTGCTTTTTCTAGAAAAAAAGCTGTTGAAACGGACCCACCAAGAAGCATTTAAAACAATAGTGGACTAGAAACATCAAATAGGGGACTTGAATTTTTTAATTTATTTATTTTTAATGGAAATCAACTTGGTACTCCAAATGATGTTGATTCAACATAACTTGTATTGTATAATATTGTATTGTACCTGCAATATTCCCTTAAAATATCCATGTGTGTATTAGGAGGTTTTGATGGTGGAAATGTGCGCTAAGGGTTTGGCTAATCTGTCAGATCTTTGTAAAGAGCAGCCCTTGTGTGGGAATGCAGTGATATGCCCTCTGTTTCATCCACAGCTCGGCAAGACATGTATCACCTGTCTGATAACAAAATTCTCTTTTGTTATCTCCAACACTGTTATTTCTCATGTCGTAGCCGCAGTGTTATACAGGCGTGAGGTATTGTGCAAAGATAAATGTCCTTTGCTTTTTCTAGAAAAAAAGCTGTTGAAACGGACCCACCAAGAAGCATTTAAAACAATAGTGGACTAGTGCCATCGGAGGATATTTCTGCAAACACAACTTTTCCTCTGTTAGACCCCACCTAGTCTCGCGTAGCCAGACCTTCAGACTGACGGCTGAAGGTCTGGAATCCATGGCGAAAATCCACCGTTTAGATGATCCTGAAAAGCGCTCGTCGTCACAGTTGTAAACACAACGGCTTTCTTCTTTCGTGAGGGGGTTTGGCACCACACATCTTTGTATCCAGGCGGAACATTAAAGAACGCGACACGCACGTCAACCGGAAATCCTGTATAATTCAACCAATCCGACAACGACTTCGAAACTCCTGAAGTGTTTCCACTTTTGTGTGCCATATGCATCAGACGTTTAGCCAACGGTCCGTGGGCGTGACGTCTGAGGCTGAGACTAGACCCCACCCAGTGCCTCTTCATGTGAGGCAACAGTTCAATTAATTGCATGTCAGATCAGTTCATAAATTGAATGAAAGTGTTACAAATGCTTGCACTACTGTTCAAAAGTTTGGGGTCAGTAAGTTTTTAAGAAATTCATACTTTTATTCTGTTTATTTTCATTAGATTGAACAAGAGTGACAATAAAGAGTGTGAATAAAGAGTGACATTTATACTGTTAAAAATTATTTCTGTTTCAAATGAATGCTGTTCTTTTGAACTATTCCCTGGGGAAAAAAATTGTCACGTTTTCCACAAAAATATTAAGCAGCACAAAATTAAGCTTTGCTCTCACAGGAAGAAATTACGTTTTTAAAATGTTAAAATAGAAAAAAGTTATTTTAAATTTATTTTTGATCAAATATTATGCTTTGTGAGTAATAAGAGACTTTTTTTCAAAAACATTTAAAAATTTTACCAACTCCAAATTTTTGAACGGTAGTGTATGTATTATCTGTTACAGAATTTAAATATGTAAATTCCTTGGTAATGTCTGAATTCACTTCTTCTTGTTAAATAAAGTTGTTGATTAAAATAAGAGAAAATTCTGGATTCATTTATTTATATTTTAGACTCCCTGAGTTTTTCCTTTTTTTCTTGCTTTGTCAACAAAGCTGTCTGTAGTGTGGCTTCGCTCTGAGCTTTTGAACTTGTACCTGAAGTCATCCTCAGAGAGTGAGCTGCGAGTAAACCTACACACACATATATATATATATAACTTGTGGGAAAATATGCTATTTACATCATTTTTGTGGTTTTCAAAATAGTCTTTAAAAAAGCTCTGTGTTTTTTTGTGAAGGACCCCTTCTCTGTGGCAGGAGGCTGTTTATTTTTAGCTAACCTGCTGCTTGCTCTGTGAACCATTGGGCCACGTTGCGCATGTGATGCCGTCAGAGCAGTGGCTTCCTTTGGCAGGCTGGTGCCGCCACGGCAGGAAGAATTCTGGGAGGGTTTTTTGGACATCTCATGTATGTATCTCAGGTCACCTCATGGCTTGGTTATGGAAGATCATGCTGTTGCCATAGTGATCAAGACCCTTTGAAGGCAGGTTACTTGTGCATCACTTGGGCATGTGCATCTTTTCCAGCCTTTCAGCAAATCTCCCCCCAACAGCGGATTTGTTGGCATTTTTGGTGATTGATTTGGATTTTAGAGGGAAAAAAACAACAACTTTGATGTGAGTTCAAAGAATGGAAATTAAACTCGGGCATATTTAGATTATGGTTATTCTTTCAATATATTTGAGAAAGCTGAGTTTATTCTGGCTGTGATGAATAAATAAGTGTCTTGTGGAGGACAGCTGTGTTTGAAACAAAGAAGAGATGTTGTAAACTTTCACATATGTTGTGGAGCAGTCTGCTGGATGTCTCAGGTGTGATTGGAAGTTACAACAAAATAATGACAACAGGAAAATAATGCATGGTATTTCTAGAAGTCGATTTCTTTTGTGCTCTGTGACGAGTAAACAATGAGATTTTATTACGATTTTTAAGTGCCCACAAGCTTTCCAGTTTATCCAGAAGCAATAGTAAGTTCTGTTAAGAATCCTCTGCGGTTTTTAACTAACCTTAACAAATGCCTGGAAAACCAGCCTAAGTCATTTAGGCCATATGATTCGCCTAGGCTGTTTGCATATTTTTGCAGTTTGTCCTTTTATTAGGGCCCAAGACACTAAGGCAGGGCCCTATTGATCCCCTAAGGATTATTATTCATCTTTTTTTTTTTTGACTATCCAGGGGTTTTTGGGGGCCTTAACATGCTCAAAAACTCTTGGAAATTGACACACATGTTGGAATCTGCGGTCATTAGGATGCTGCAGAGGCTGGGACCCGGATGTGGCACAGGGGCTCTACAGTGCCCCCTGGAACACAGTCTGAAATCTTGATGTATAGCTCACACATACTTGCACGCATTAATTTGAAACTCGGTACACATATAGATCTCATTGAGCCGAACAAATATCGCACTGCATGTCATAGGCTCTGCCCAACAGGAAGTTGGCTATTCAGGGCTGTGTAAAAAGCGCATGCTCTGGAATTTGATATACTCCTAGGATTTCCAAACGATGGCCACCAAACTCAGTCAGCATGACCTCAAGACATTGGGGATGCTAAATTGCCAAGGGATTTTTGATATCTAAACGGTTTGGCCATGGCAAGGCGACAAATTTATGGCGAGAAATGAGAAACAGGAAGTGTTTAATAACTGTTGCACACATTGTCTGATTTTT